CCTGAAAGTTAATCACACACTCAAGCACTCTTATGCTCTTGCCAGAATCCTTAACACTGTCCTCTGGCCATGTACAAGGTTTAGAGGCTCCATTATGTAGCTAAGTACAGTTTTGTATCTGTCTGAGCAACAGGATTGAGGGAACATGGAAGTGTGCTTGGGGACCCCAAAGCCAATATTCAGGTGTGTGTTTGTGGCAGATGGGGAGAAAGATGAAGCAAGGAAGAGGGCTAACCAGCATGCAGTAGCCTGCTTGCAGCCAATACTGTCCTGGTGTGGTGAGGGAAAAAGTGATACAGAATAACCTGCCTGGGCAGCATCAGCTGCAATTTTCAGCTTCATTCCGCCCCTTGCAGCACCACAGCATCCCCCTTCAGGCACTAAGCTCCAGGGGGCTACACTGTGAAGCTCAGCTTTTTAATTTTTTTTCCATGGTGCACGAGTAGCAGCTGCCACAGCCACAGAAATGGCTGGCACCGGGACCTGGCAGTCCTGCTGATAGCATCTCAGAGGGTTCTTCCCTGTGGACTCATTTCAGCTGGGCTCCATGGTCTGAAAGCCCATCAGCACCAGGAACTGGGATGCTCGCTTAGTGAAATCCTGAAAGAAACAGGTCATGTGCTTGAAGATTGCTCTGTCATAAGAAGAATTGCAGGGGTGGCTGTAGGCAGGAGCTTGGCTTAAAAACCACATTCCTGATAAAATAAAAACACTAAAATGGAAGCATCTCTAGTTCCTTATAGAAACAAAGAGAGACACATACATATGCACCTTCAGAGATTTTAAACTTTATTCCCACCTTGTGTTTCCCTTTTGAAGTGCCTGAAGTGCAACCTTAGGCATCTGAGACAGGTACTTAAATTTTGGGAACTTGAGTGAGTCTTTCATGTTTCCATCATACTGAACCAATCAGAGATGTGAGTCTTAAGCTCAGACCAAAAATTGCCTGAGACACAGCTTTTTAAAATCAGCTTTAACTTTTTTCAGACATTAGATTTTTTTCAGAGACCAAAGCACCGCATAAAGAAAGTGAAATGCAAGTGCTTTCAATGTTAATAAAATTTCCAAAAGCTTTCTTGGAATTGCCAAGAAAGAATGAAAGCTGATCTGATTTTCTATGGCCAGCAGTTGTACATTCTCAAGACCTCAAGCCTTTTTTAACATTTTGTCTGATACAAGAAACTTAAGGCATTGAATAAACCATATCATATTTGAAGTAACAGGCTGCGGTGTTGACAACCACACACGTTTAACCATGCACTTTGAGGTGTTCTGGTAAGCCTCTGCATTTAAAATAAATAAATATAATTTTGTGGAATCAAGAACTAATTTAGAGAACAAGATTTTTCATAATTCTTTTCTCAAAGCATATTGATATTGTATATTATTGGTTTGCATTCTTAAGAATTCTAGTTTGAATAGACAAAACTATAAATGACTGGTTTAAAAAAATAGCCTACTTACAACTAGCTCTTCTCCACAAAGTTCTTGATGCACTTAATTAATATAATAAAATGGCCAACAGCCAAAAAATACTCTGATTTTTATTTCAAAGGTGCCTTTGTGCTACTGGAATGCAAAGCTCTTTTGAAAATCTGTTATTTTTTAAAAAAATATGTATAAAATGAAACATACTCATTTATTGATGAAATCAAGAATAAATGTATTCAAATTGGTAACACTTCCATAATAAAACTATGCTAACACTATAACCTAGCGTATGATTAGCTCTGTGAAGATCACATAATCCAAAATTCCCATCAAAAAGCAAACCAAATCCACCCAAATACATTTAGTTTTACTTAAGAGTAATTTTTGGTATACTATATAACATCACTTCAATAGGCACAGTACTATAAAGAATTTTCTTTATTAAACGTACTTGAAAATATCATGACATAAAGAGAACAAATTACATATTATTCTACGGACTGGTTTGTTTACTCCTGTTAAAATATTTGCCTTCACTTGCATACAGATTTTTAGCAAAAGCTGATGGCTCATTATAGTTCAGTTTTTTCATTGTTGATGGGCTGTGTTGGCTTAAAAAGCACTTGTATTCATTATATGTTATGTGTGAAATGACAGGCTGCAACATGAAGGCTGAGTTTTGACATATGTGTATGGAGTTCACGATGCTTTAAATGTAGGTATTTAAAAGCAAAATGTAGCCATTTAATATGTTTGTAAATTTAATCTTGGTATTTTAAGACTTGTTATAACGCAGAATTTAAAATTTTGCCTCTTTGGTTCAAGACTGAATTTCTGACCAAGTTGTTCTACAAGGGCAAGGTTGGATGCAGAGTCACCTCTCAATATTCTGTGAGGTCACTGCACAAACACCTGCTGCATTTGCAAATCAACACTGACCTGCAGTCAAAGCTATGACATCTTATATTCTTTCAATAACACTTTTTGTCTTGAAAACAAAAGTATTGATGAAGCCCCACCAGTTTACCTCCTTAGAAAAACAACAATAAAAAAAACCCAAAACAATTTACAGGCTAATGTGTTTCTCAAATGTTCTGTATTTAATGAGCAGTTTCAAAAGCCTCAGTGATGAATGCAGATGTTCTACAAGCAGAATTCTTGACAGAGATCTTCCAAATACCCAGGCACAGTCCCAAAAGTTCATGTCATTCATTCCATTCTGCACAATGTGAATTTTTGTTTAAATTCTTTTTGGGGGGCTTTCATGTAATGGAATTCCTTCACCTACAGAAATTTGCAATGACATACTTTGTGCTGGTCTGGGTAAATGTTATGCCATGTCTCTTAAGCACCCCTCAGATTCAATGATGCAACTGCACATCTCGTGAACAGTTGAAGGAAAAACATCCAACCGGCAGCTGACCTGTTTCAGATTCTCCTGTTGCCAGCAGAGGTGGTAGCACATGGCCACACTGTTGTGACAGCTGAGTGCCACAGCAATGCACTGAAATGGAGGAGATTATTTGGGAGCACTGAGAACTGTCATTAAAAGATACCAGCCTTCTCTTTTCAGCACTGTCAACGCTCTGACAAAATTTGTGTTTCCAGTATATGCTTTCTAGACAAGGGCAGTGCCTGAGTTACCATTGTTGAACCTCTTAAACTGTTATAGCTTTAGATTCAAAATATCTGGTGTTTGTGTCCCAAGCTCGAGATCCTATGGACAACCAACATATGTTTTATCTGTGGTTCAGATGTGACTCCCTTATTTAGGGACAATTCTTATAAAAAAGTTCATGATGATGTCTATGAAAATGCTGGATTTTGATGCCACTTAGACTATTTAATTGCTGGATTGGTACATCATTCCACTGATTTTAGGATGGAAAATAAATGTGTAGCCCTTGGAGGTGTACTATTAGGAAGTATGTGTGTACCAGAAGACATTTGAAAGAGATAAAAAAGTTCTCCTCCCCCAAATATTTTCAGATTATTTGGAACTAGTATAAAATCATATCAGCTATGCTTCAAAACAATGTTACTCTCACACATGTAAATCCAAATATTTCTAATGCAAAGCAAAAAAAAAAAAGAGAGACATGATTTGCTCCTACATTTCAGTCATCTTTTGTCCCTGCCTTGCATTTTGAATTGTTCCCGTTTGGATGAGCTCTCCTCTGGCTTCACTTTTGAAGTATTAGTCATCTTAACTCATAGAAAAGGATGTGATAGAATTAGTCTTTCTGCTAAACAAGGAAGATGGTGGCCCTGTCTCCTAGGTTCTACTAACAACTCTAAGTAGATGGGGAAAAAAAAGGTAGTTTTGATTTCAATACAATAAATAGAAACCCCAAAATCTACTACTGAAAATGTATACCTTTTTTCCATCATCTTCACTGGTGTATGTCTAAGTGCAAAATAAAATTATATTGCAAAATTGCAATTAAACAAAGTTATTAATTTTAAATATAAAATTCCTTTATATTTCATCATTAAATTATACTCTGAAACTAGTATGTGATCCAGAGTGATGTAATGGTCTTAAAATACAAAGAAATTATGCATTCTGTAATGTGTTCTTCAGAGCTTATTCAAGTTATTCCTGTCTTCTACTATCAATATATATATATATAACTTATTAAGAAGTCAAAGGGTAAAATAATTTTTCAAGCATAATGTAAAGTGTCAATTTGTTGAGAGTTTAAATGGAACACAAGTTCTACCTATGATGTGAAATCACGGTTAACCATGGAAACAATGTGTTTGGTGGGTTATCTGAAACAATTTCAAAATCTTGTGGACAAAGACTATTAGATTCACAGTATTTAATTCTTAACAAAAAAAAAAAAACAACAAAAAAAAAAGAGGGAATAAATAGATGACACACTATTTTTTCTACTTGCACTTAATTTAAAGTCAAAATTAAATTCATATGCCATTATTTTTACTTGAAGAAGAGTGACGTATCCATGAAAAAGTGTTTTTTCTTTTTGTGGCTTGTTTGTTTTGTTTTCTTTTTAAGGTATCAGACCAGTATGGCTATATGTTTGTTGTTGTTACTGTTAGGTGAAGAGATAAAAATAGAAAAAGTAGCATGACTCCATGTATGAACACAAATATGGATTTACAACAGTGCTTAAAGTGCTTTCTTATTTGAGGAGGTACTTACACAAATGTCTTTTCATGCTTATCTCCTTTGTCACCATGTACTATATGCTTGCTCTCATTTATAATATAATGACAGGGCATTATGTTCATACTCAGAGTTTAGTATATTGTCATAAAAACATCTGAAAAGAGGAAAATGACAATTCTTTTTGTGTATTATTACAGCAATTTGAAAATTTTATTAAATACTCAAGTGCTTCATTTTGCCATTTATTCCTTTGCTTCCAACGTTGCTTAAAGCACTATGTAAGTACAAATAGATAATACTAAAAGCATATCCATCCTATTCTGGGGTTTAGACTAGGATTATTTACTGATGTCTTGCAGAACCGAGATGAAATTAGGATCCCACGTGACCATTTATCTGCTGATGCTGCAAGATGTCTTGCCTCCAGGATTGGTTTCCACATACATGGTTCACCAAAGGTCTAAATCTTATGAATATTTATACATTTTTATGTCTTGTTAAGTGGCAGTGCTGTCATGGGGGATGTCAAGTAGTATACTTTAATTTGCTAGTACCAGAAGTTGTGGGAGCAGCAGAAGCTGTGGCTTGGCTGCCTACATACAAAGGGTCCAAACAAGCCACTTTGGCTGCAAAGAACGAGTGAATACAGTGAAGGACTGCAAACAGGTTAGAAAACTCCAGCTCCTGGAAGTAGAAAAAAAAAAAAAAAAAAAAAAAAAATAAAAAAGAAACAAAAAAAACACCCAAAAACAA